CCCTTTCCCTCTCTCTCCCCTTTTACACCCCCCTCTCTTTTTTTTTTAACTAAAAAAATGGTATCTTAAGTAATTCTACTTTGACCCAAGGTGCTTTTAGCTTTGGGGACTGTATGAAGTGTTGATCACATGGGACTTTACTAAGAAATTGATGGTTCTTTTGTTTCCGTTCCATCTCTTAATCTTAGGCTAAGGTAAATAACGCCAGCCTGATTGGACTGGGTTATACGCAGACCCTCCGGCCAGGTAAGTAAAGGAATCATTAACGGGGGAGGGGTACAAAGTGATAGAAGAAGAATAAAAGTGGCCTACTTGTAATCACTGTAGGTTGTTTCAGACCTTTTTATAACATTTGGTTATTCACACACAAAGAAAAACAAGTACTTTTGCTTGGAAGATACTTATTTCTAAGTATAATTTGGTCACTCGGACCTTTGTAGTTGGTTAATCTCTCGTTATCCTGAACCCAGAACCCAAGTATAATTTGCCGTGCTCACGCTTCGCTCACTGCAGATCAGACACGTGTAGGTAACCCTGTGCGGAGTACGGCTGTGTGCTCCAGCTCAGAGATCCAGCCGGAGGCCGTGTCGTCTGCTCCAGCCATCATTCTAGAAATCTCAGATCTCACTGTGATGCTTGGTATAAGTAATGTGATGTTTTCTTCCTCCTAGGAGTCAAATTGACCCTGTCAGCTTTAATCGACGGAAAGAATTTCAATGCAGGTGGTCATAAGGTTGGGTTGGGATTTGAACTGGAAGCTTAATGTGGTTTTGAGTAAAGTGTCAAATTTATCCCTGGAAGTGAAGAGAAATGAACCCACTATGTTTTGGCCTTAAAATTCTTCTGTGAAATTTCAAAAGTGTGAACTTTTTATTCTTCCAAAGAATTGTAATCCTCCCCACGCCGACGTCTCTAGAGTGCAGTCCATCTAAGGGAGGCGTGAAGGCATGCCTGGAAGGTGCCGTGTTTGTGCCACATCTCAGTTCAGTTCTGCAGTGTTAATTTCGATGTGTTCCTCAGCGCCAGTGTAGTGTCATGTTGGGAAGTGACCCTGCCCTCCACATCACGATGTCCTGCATGTCCTCTGCCACTTTTCATGACCTTTTAGGATACTGGTCTGTGCTGTAGTGGAATCTTTGGTTTTGCATCACAGTAAAATAAAATAAACCCATCACATTTGGAACATAATTGCGCACCGACTTACTAGTGGTGGTTTTCTTACATCTGGGGCATCCACTGTCCTAAGTGGGATTCGCGTCTGCACCGGTGTGTCGGACAGACCATGCTGTCTGTCCCCTCTGCTTCGGTTCCCTCGCTCTTGTCATCCTCCGGGGTCAGGCTGAGGGACGAAGCAGCGAGTTTAGTTCCAAGAGAAGCCCGTCAGCCCGGAGCTGTGCAGTTGGGTGGGGTCTCGGAGCTGAGGCGTGAGTGGGCGAGGAGACGGGGTGGGGAGAAAAGTGGAAAGTGGGGAGGGGGGAGGTCGGGAGAAGGCGAGGCCAGGGCTGAGGGATGGGGCTGTGGCTTCTGGCTTCAGAAACATTTTGATCTAGAAAAATGATAACCACGGAATGGAAGTGCCAGTTTAGGAAAGAAGTAAATAGAGTCTACATCCCAGCTGAGATACGGAGTGACTCTCTTCTCATGAAAGGCTTGTTGGTGAATCAGCTTTCTTAAAGTAGAGCTCCTGAAAATCTGTTCAGTTTTCTGTTATGGGGTACGTTTGCTTATCAGAGAGAGGCTGGGGAAGTGAGAAATCGCCCCCCGGGACGATGGCCACCACCATCGCTCTCCCCTAGTCTTGCCTCTGGATTTTGGACACACACACACACACACTCACACACACACACACACGTGCCTGCCTGATGTGTTTTTCAAGACACTGGGTCCGTCCCAGACTCAGATCACTAAGCCACGTGGGATCCAGTCACCTTAACCACCATGCCACCTGCTGTCCTGAAAGTTTTTTTTTTAAATACAGAAGTTATGTATGTTGGTTGTAGTAAATTCAGTTTAGAAGTAAATTAAATAAAAATCCCCATTTCTGCAATCACCTCGTTCTGCCACTGACAGTTCACTGTGTAGCCTCGCGGATGGTTCTCAGCGTCCAGCAACTACGAAGTGTCTACACAAAATGCGCAGCTCGTTTTGCAGTATACTTGCTCAGTCCTCCGTTCACGTGTGCCTCCACTCGATTATTGGCACACGTTAGCACGAGCGTGACCGCTCCTTCACGGCCCCCCATTTGCTCTGCTCCCCTCTGCCTCGGGCAGCGCTTGCTGACACTGTCCCTTCTGAGACTGCTGCGCAGCAGCACTGCCCAGGACGGTGAAAGTGACCCGGCCGTGCGCTCTTAGGTGGTCAGCCCGGGTCCCACACGGCTTCAGGCACGGAGCTGTTTTGGGGGAGCCGAAGCACTGGGTTCTTACTTTGTCTTCATTTACATGGCCGGGCGTGTCCGGGGCTGTCGTGCTGGGCAGCAGTTCTGAAGGATGGGATTCTGGTGTCTGATACGTGGTGCCAGCTTGCCTTCCAGAATGTTTGCACGATTCTTCCTCTGCCTGGCGTCTCGGGGTGCCTGTTTCCCCACCCCCACTAGCACTGCGTGTTGCCAAACTCAAGCGCTCACCACTTTTGTCGGTGAGAATGGTACAGTTTCCCTTTGCACTTCCCTAGTCACCAGCGGATGGAACTGTCTGTGTCTGTGTCTGCTGACGCGTTTCCATTTGCCTGTTCACATTCCTTGCTCAGTGTCCAGACTGCTTGTCCTACAAACTAGACACATTCGTGTTCAAAAAAATTCAGTGCAGTGTTCCCCCGCCAAAAACGATCTTGGCCAGGGGGTGATAACTAAGCATCATTTATGTCAGAAAATACCTTCGATATCAACCACATCATATTTTATTTTCTCTATCTAGTCTTCCCTTCGGGCTGAGCCACATCATCTTTATAGAAGAGGGACACCAGGGAAGGAGAGGCTGCGAGGACACAGCCGTGGGCCGGCTCTGCCTGGCTCTCACTGGAGCAGAGCGGTGGGCTGCGGAGGTGGCCGCCGGCCAGGACTTCGTAGGTGTGGGGAGGGAGCCCACTGCTGTGTGCTGTCGGGGCTGGGCCCGGGCAGAGCGCGGTCTGTGTGGGGCAGGGGATGGGATCGAAGTGGCCAGTCAGGGCGGGCAGAGATGCCAGGGAAAGGCTGGCGAGGTGGTGTCTGAGTTTCGTGTCTGATGAGGATGGTTGCCCTCGAGGCCTGAATGAGAGGCAGGAGATGGTTGCAGCATGACCCTCTTTGCTTTCCACGTGCTGTTCATTTTAAATCCCTGCTGAGCCCGAGAGCCAGGCTGTCTCTGGCACAGTACCCCAGCGGGACGGGGTGGTCTGACCCCCTTTCTCAGTGGTTGCAGTGCGTCGAGTGGCCGGGTGCAGTGCGTGTTGGCAGGCCTGATGGTCTTCGGCCCCAGCGCCACACCTGCTCCTTCGGAAGCTCGGGTGAGGGGCTTTTTCCTCGCAGGCTCTGACACTTCTCGGACTTTCTCAGAGCGAGGCCGGGCTGCTGATCAGGGCCATCCTCACCCAGGTTTGAACACATTACAACCTGGGGTGTGGCGTCAGTGCAGAGAGCCCGAACAGCGCCTGCACCCCGGCACCCTGACCAGGCTGCAGGGAGAGCGGCGGGCGGCGCCGGTGGGGCACCTCTGCCCGGTGGGGTGGCATGGCCAGGGATTCTTGTGCCTTGAGGTCAGCCTCCCGGAACCGACTCCGGCACACCCTGCTGGTGCCAGTCACATACTGTCCTGTCCTGTTAACAGTCGGGAGTGGAAGTGGCCAAGGAGACCATCGGAAGGCGCAGCGTGGGAGGAGGAAGGAGACGGGCGGGCTCGGTGTTGTGTGTGGCTCGAGGCCAGGGCATCCCCCCGGGATCTGGCTTGTCCAGGGCAGTGTGTCTGAGTCTCGGGGTGTCGGGGTGAGTGGAGTGGGAACCTCATGTGCCCACTCCATTGTCTTCGAACATTGCCACCCCCCCCACTTCCTGACAGCTGCATCCCACAGCTGTTTCCAGAGCTTGTTTCTGTCCGTCCAAGCGCTCCCCTCTGAACCCCAAATCTGTTGCGAGCTGTCAGGTACCTGTGCTTGGCCAGGCTGCAGGCGTCAGGCTCAGCATTTCCTGCACCGAACCCACACCTCAGTGTCTGCTTCGCACTCAGAGGCTCAGCCACGTTTCCGCCTCTTCTCGGAGACCCCCCGACCTCAAGCCACTGAGTGGGGGGCCCTCCCTGGGGTTTCCACTGCTGAGGCTGCTTGGGAGGTGACCTCCCTGCTGCAGTAGACAGCGCTAATGCAGTTAAATCTGGCCCCACTGGGTGTCGCTGTTGCTGCTGCCAACCACCACGGCTGGCCCAGCTCTCAGGGCTTCCTGCGCTTCCACCTCCTTGCCCTCCTCGCCCGCTCAGGGTCTGGGATCTCCCAGTCCAGGGCTTGGCCTAACCTCAGCGTGGCAAGTCTTGGTGAAGGCGAGGAAATCCCCATCCTGCTCTGGCCCAGATCCCACTCGCTGTTTAGATCTTCCAGCTATGGAGGCCAGCGGGCCGTCCCCATGGAGTCCTGCACTCTCCACTTAAATTAGCCCAAAGTCCCCTGTGCAGAAATGCACAGCAGCCCCGCCTTTCCTCCGGCTTCCTTTCCAGCTTCCGAATCCCAATCCCCACAGTGATGCTCCTCGGGGCGCCTCCCAGAGTCCAGGGAAATGGGGTCCTGGGCAGGCTGGCAGCGCAGGGTGGGAAGACGCTGAGGTCACTCGGCCCGGGCGCCATTTGGTGCCTGTGCGTGTTCGTGTTCCGTGCCCTGGCTTCCCCTGTGCCCGGCCAGTTCCAGGCATTTCAGTGACCCAATGACCCAAGGGGAATGAGACCTTTCCGCAAGGATGACGGTGGGTGTGACTTTTTATCAGCCTCAGGGTTGTTTCATTGTTTGCTCAGTAACAATGGATGATGGGCCTTAGGAGTATTAAGAGGGGGCAGGGCCAGAGCTGCCATTGCCCACCCTGCTCCACCAGCCTCGCCCACCCCGCCGGGCGCGGGCACCGACTTACCGCTCTCCAGGGCAGTCTGAACAACTGTGGTTTTTCTGTTCCTTCCTCACCCAGTTTAACGCCCGTGGAAGCAGTCCTGAGGGGTCACCCATAAACAGGTGAGGGCGGGAGGCGGGTCCCCAGGTTCGGAGTCCCTGCTCTGGGCAGGCACTCGCACACCCAGGTTCTCACCAAGTTCCTGGCGCCCGCGGGTTGGCCTCACTGTCCCCGTTTTGTAGCAAGGAGGCTAGAGCGCCCCCAAGGCCAAGCCACGCAACAGGAGCTCAAGTTCGCCCATTTCTACCGGTTCTGCCAAGGCAGGAGCCCAGCAGGAGCGGAGCGGCTCTGTGTGCTCCTGGGGACCACCGCCGCCCCTTGGCTACTGGGGTGTTCTTCCCAGCCCCTGGCCTGACAGCCACCCTCAGCCGAGCAGGGGGAGCTGGGATGAATCCTGGTCAGTCCCAGCGGAGAGGACTCCCGCCTTCCGCTGTGGGCCAGTTGGCCACGTGGCGACTCGGCCACTCTCCTGGCCAGGTGAGGGCGTGGCAGGGGTGAGGTGCTGGGTGCTTAGTCACTGGAAGGCTCCATGGCTGTGACCTATGTCCCGGTTCACTCCCTGAGACTCCTACCCTCCCTGCCTGCCTGGCTTGCCAGGACCCAGGGGACAGCCCGCCCCAGGATGGGCCACCTAAGGCCAGCGGTGTGGCCCTGCAGTGTTTGCTCCACGATTTTTCTCATGAACACTTGGGAGAAACTTCAACTTTTAAGGCTGCTGGATCTAACCCAGCTGACTGTGCGGTTTCAGTCCCAGAACCTGGCAGCTCGAGGGACATGGATGGCGTGTGCACGTGTGCCCGAAATCCCCAGAGGGGACTGGAGAGGACTGCGGTGGGATCATCCTTCTATAGGGTGATTGGGAGATTTCTCACTTCGCTCTCTGGTGAGTGACTGCACATACCTTCTATCAGACTTTATAAAAACAAACTTTTGAACCTTTATTGAAAGTGGAGAGATGGGGGCCAGCAGGTGGCATAGCGGTTACGTCGCTGGACTCCCACATGGTCGACTGTGGTCCGGGTCCCAGGCCTAGGCGCTCGAAACTCACACCGGGCGCGTGTGCATGTGTGTCCGAAATCCCGAGAGGAGACTGGAGAAGAAAGGGTTGTGGGGTGGCTGTCCCCCCGGGGGGTGGTTTCTCACTGTCTCCAGCCATATAGCAAATATCTCTCAAAATTTTTTTTAAAGTGGGAGGATGAAACACTAAAGGTGCCATTTTGAAAACCAGAGAGGAGGCCAGGTTCTTTGGAGAGATGCGTTTTCCCCACCTGGCCATTTTCTTCACCCTGTTACCTCCAAGCTCCTACAGAAGTGGGGCTGGTGACTGTAGCTGCAGAAGCCCCAAGGTTTCTTTGGGTGCTTGATCCGAGAAAGGCAGGTCTGCCCTTACTTGCAGGGTCCTCAGCCCTGAACCGAGACGGGCTGCTCTAGCCACCCTCTGGAGCCTGGGGGACTTGGGGGAAGCATGAAAGGCTTAGCAAACAAAAGCGAGAAACTCCCTTCAACAGTCTCACTCCCTCTTAGAAATTCACAAGCGGAGCCAGCAGGTGGTGTGGTGGTTAAGGTGCTGGACTCCCACATGGCTGACCGAGGTCAGTCCTGAATCTGCTGGCTTGTCTTCTCGTTCTCTCTCTCTCACGCACATGCCCTAAGGCAAATTAAAAAAAAATAGGGCCAGCAGGTGACATGGTGGTTAAGGGCGTTGAACTCCCATATGATCGACTGGGGTTCGAGTCCCAGACCTGTAGGCTTGTTTCTCATTTCCTTCTCTCTCTCACTCTGTCTCTCTCTGGTAAATTATAAATAAATAAATAAATAAATAAAATTAAACAATAAAAAAATTCCCCAGTGGAGGTCCGGGTATGTGAACAGTAGGTGGCTGAAGGCTGCGGTGTGGCTTCTCCCAGGACGGGCCAGCAGGTGGCATGGTAGTTAAGGATTCTCCCAGGGCGCGCAGTAGCTGGTATCTATGCCCGAGTTCCTTTTCTCATCTTGTGCGTTTCCTGCACAGACATGTCATAGTAAAAATGAGGGGGGCAAATAACATAGCTTAATTAGTGTGGAAACTCTGAAAGGATTATGTAAATGTCTAGAAAAAGACAAGACAAACTTTTAAGGGCATGTTTTATTATAAATTTAATATGGTTGATTAATGAAAAATCACAATGAAGTACCAAGAAAATGTTTGTCAATATAAAAAGTTTAGCAGCATTTCCATAGGTTCAGGCTCTGACCTTCGTCCTACTCCTCCCTCCCACCCACCACAAAAAGAGAACCCAGCGGGGTGACAGCAGAGCGTCGGGGTGCTCAGCTCAGTAAAGGCCTCGGAGGAATCCTCAAATCCAGCGTGTTTTCCAATGCCCCACACCCACAAATTTCTAGAGTATCCAGGCACACACGAAGCCTTGTCTGCTCCAGTGTGAGATGGGAATTCCATTCCTCAGACTGCAGGGATAAGGTGAAGGCGGAAACCAGACTGGATGTGTAGTGCGTAATAATCCCGATCCTCACACCATACATTCTCTGTGCTGATGGCAACGCAGGCCACTGCAGGGTGACCAGTACCTGGCACACGGTGGCGACGCTGCTGCTGGTGGGGCGGGACCAAGGATGTGACACGAACACGATGGTGACTGGGGCCCAGGCAGGTGGGAGCGTGGCCGGTGGTAGTGACCAATGAGGGGGAGACGAGCAAGACGAAAATATAATACTGGCAAACTATTCCCCTGCCTCTTTGGTACTTTCCAAAATTCTCTGATCAAAAAAGTATAGGGAAGCACACCATTAAAAAATGACAGTTCTAAGTATTTACAAAGCAATTATGATATATTACACAGTAATCCGTACACAGTATATGAACAGCTGCTTCAGCGAAAGCACCTGTGAACTCTGTCCGTGTCCCTCCCAGAACACCGACCACGCACACTGCCCCACGTTGGTGCCTCCCAGCGGAGTCTCACTCATTTTACAGTATATTCAACAGGAAAGAGGTGGTCTGGAACCCATTTTCCAACCTACACTTTCCTTTTAAAGGTTCTTACATTTGCCACTGAGATCACTATGTACAAGATTTATTAAACAGCGAATCCTAGGCAATTATCCCTCTTCCATTCTGAGTGTGTTGGAAGTAACGCTGCCTAGTCTATGTATACAATATATATACTTATTACATAAGCAACTGCACCACGTCCTATCACCATGAGACCGGTTTAATGCACGTTACTATGTACAGCAGTTAAGTTAGCTCTGGAGGGTGAATCTCTGCAGCCGGGGTGAGCGGCATGGCATGGAACCATCTGAAAGAGACGTGGAGGCCTGGCTGGGAGACGCCGGCCTGGGCAGGATGCGTGTGCGTGCTACGAGCCGCGCCTCCCCCACCTGCGCCAGGCTGTCCCCGTGTGGACTTGCTGGAAGAAGACGGATCACACGTAGGGAAGGATGCCGTACATGAGCAGAGCCATGATGGCAGCACTGAATAACCCGGCCACAGGGACAGTCACAAACCAGGCCACGAAGATGTTCCGGAAGAGGCGCCAGTCCACGGCCTTCCGGGAGCGGATCCAGCCCACAGCCACCACCGAGCCCACCTGGGGAGCACAGACATTGCACAGTGAAAACAGGCCCAGGTCTTTAAAGGCAGGACTGTTCACACAGGCTGGTTCTCAGAAATAAGCTGTTGAATTCTTTCCCCTGAGCTTGTTAAAGCTGTCCGAATAGTTGGGACGCCCGGTATCACTGTTTTAGGGTGAGAGCTACAGCGCTCTGATACACTTCTCACTCCCACGCTAGGCTGCGTGGAAGCTAAGCCTATCAAATACCTTCTCTCTGCACCTCATAAATCTATGCACACCCTCATTTTCAGTACCCTGCTCGGCTTGCTGTCACGTGTGACCTGCCTCGATTACAGTAGAGGGCAGTACTGAGCCCTTCTCTTACCAGAGAAGACCTTTGACATGAACTAATCCAATGTGTTCATTTCAAAGAATAAAACAGGATCACATTAACGGCCTTAAGGAGAGATGTAAATCAGAGGCAGATTGAAAACTAGAGCTCAGGCTTCCTGATTTTAAAGTGGTTATCTCCACTATTAAACTGCCTGTCGTCCTAATTTACAGACAGATCATCACTTTTTTCTTTTTTCTTTTTTTTGGAGAGTTTATTTTTTAATTTTTATTTATTTTTATGTTTTTTTTTGCTATAGGGTGTGTGCACTTGCCAGACAGAGAGAGACAGAGAGACAGAGAGCAAGAAATCACCCCCCAGGGGGGATGGCCACGCCGCAATCCCTTCTCCATTCTCCTCTCGGGATCCTGGGCACGCACACACACCCGGCGTGAGTTTAAGCTACCGGGTCCAGGACTCAAACCGCGGTTGACTACGTGGGAGTCCAGCGACATAGCCATTACGCTAACTGCTGGTCCCTGCCAATCATCACTCTTAAAATGATAGTCACGGATACTCAAAAGTCAGAATGTTAACACTGATTCAAGGTTTTTTTTTTTGTTGTTGTTTGTTTTTAAGGTTTTTGCCATAGGCATGTGTACTCCTGGGGGGTTGGGGTGGCAGTGAGAAATCATCCCCCTGGGAGTTGGCCATGCCACAATCCCTTCTCTACTACTCTTCTCTCAGGACTTTGGGCATGCATGCACAGGAGCCCAGCAGGATTTTCAAGCCATGGGGTCTGGGATGCGAAGGCAGTCAGCCATGTGACAGTCCAGGGCCTAAACCACCATGCCACCTGCTGGGCCTCTGATTCAGGTATTTTTCTAAGCCCTTGCGGTTCTCTTACGGTTTGTTGAAGTTTTTAAAAAGAGAGCAAACATAACTTTATCCTATAAAAAGAAAATACACAGAAAACATCTTGTGCTTCACACGCGGACTGGTTAAGCTCGAAGTGGAGCCGGGCGCCCCGGTTCCATGCGTGCTGGATTTCAAAGATCTCCGTAAATGTGCCTGGGGGTTAGTTGTGTGGCCAGTGAGGTTGCAGAAGAAAGGGTGATTCGAAGCAAAAGTCTAACCACAGGAAAATAAAATTCAATTTTAAATTTAACATCCAATTTTAAATATTCTATGGAAGAAAACCAGAACACCAAACAGCAATTTAACGGCATCTCATCAACCCAGACCACGATTAACCAGCAATCCCGTACCCCCAGGGTACATCTAACCATCTGCAGAAGGCTCGCCAACAGCCTTCACTTTGCGTCCTCGGACGGTAATCAGGGGTGCCTCCTGGTTTACATGCACACTGTTATCTATAAGTAGCTGGGGTGCCACGTTCCTACAGGCCACCTCACTCTGTAGGCATCTCATGTCGCACCTGTGACCCCCAGTAATGCACCCTTTAGACAGATGCACCTTCACTCACTCAGCCGTTCCCAGTCTGCTTCCAGCGCTCCTCTACTAGAAGCGGTTCCGTGATCAATATAGCCACGAAATTTACATTTAGACTCTTAAAAAATAACACCCTCTGAAATAAGATTATTGAAGAAGACTGTTTAAAATGTATCTTGGGCCTGCCCACGCGTGGCAGTTAAGTGGCTGGATCCCACACAGCTGACTGTGGTCTGAGTCTCGACCCAGCGGCTTGAGAAGCACGCCGGTGTGTGTGCACGCGTGCTTGCTGAAAATGCTGAAAGGAGGGAGGAATGGCGGAGAAGGGACTGTGGTGTGCATTGCCACTGTGTGTGGGGGTACTCTCTCACATTCTCTTTTTCTGTCTCTCCAGCAAGCACACGTGCTACCTGGCAAAAATTAAAAAAAAAAAAAAAAAAGTATGTATCTTTAAGGCCCAGCCACAGTGGCACGGGGTGGGGTGGGGGGACTGGAGCCACAGGGGAGGCCCAGATGTTTTTTCCACATCAACCTACAGACAGGCCGGCAATCAGGCTGAGCGGGCGCTGGGGCCCAGGGTCACAGCATGGCAAGACCCTCTGAAAAACTACCTCCTTTCTCTCCCTCTAAAATAAATATATTTTAAAATAATTTACACTTAGAGAAAAGCTTTAAGATTTCTCATAACCCTTTCTCCCAATTCACCAACACCGAACACTCGGCAGACAGACATCTTAATACCATTTAATACCCTTCTCATCAAACCTCTCTCCTCTTCTGCTAAAGGTCAGCAATGCGATCTCAGCCTGGCGGCAAAAGGGTGGGCTCCGGCCCTCCCTTCGTCCCACGCTCCTCTCTTTGAGGAGGGTCGCTTTCCTCTCTGCGTGTGTCAGGACCTCAGACACACGGCCACAGTTTACGACAGGTGTGAACACACAGTGCAGCCACGATCTGTGGGCTGGCACGTTTACAGCCACGTCACCTGTCCTTCCCTGCGACTCGCCAATGAACAGGAGCATGGACATTACTTCAGTTTGTGTATCTTTCACTTTGACTAAGGCTCAACTTTCTTCCGTGGAGTTACTCAAGTTCATCCCCTCTAGTTGTTACATATAAAAATGGTGTCTTCGTGTGCTCTGACCACTTACATATCGGAATTGAAGCTCTACCAAGCTGGGCCAGCTCTTAACCTGGTGGCTAACCGAGCCAGATCCCGCGTGGCTGACTGCAGTTCACTTCCCGGCCCAGCAGCTCGAAAACCATGCTGGGCACGTGCGTGTGTGCGCCACGATCCCGACAGGAGGGGGCGAAGGAGAGGGAAGGGTGGTGGGACGGGGCCCCACTGGACGGTGAAATTAATCAAAAAAAAAGAAAAAAAAACATGTCCTCTATTTATGTGTGGTCTTTATCGAATAATAATATTAACTTTGTGATATCTAATACAAGTATTTTCCCAACCTAGTATTTTACTTTATTTCACTCCCATAGTTGTAAGGTTTTATTCTGTGGTTTACCTTAGTCTGAATATTCTATTTTATTCTAAATTTTCTAAAATACAATTCTAACTTAGTTTAACTTAAGAATATTTTAATAATGTCCTTTAAGCCATATCAGATGAATGTTCATACATTTTGAGAGTCATGGGTCCAATTCTGTTTTTAGACTGATACCCAGCTATCCCATATCAGTTACTAGTTAAATATTCTCTTCCTCAAAACATGTAATAGTTCCATCTCTTAGCTACCTACTTTCTTCTTTTACACACACTTTTTTCCTTCCTTTTTTAAATAATATTTTTATTCATTCATTCATTCATTTTAATTTTACCAGAGACAGACAGAGAGAGACAGAAAGTGAGAAAGCAAGCCACCAGGTCCAGGACTTGAACTGTGGTTAGCCATGTGGGAGTATCCAGCACCTTAACCACCATGCCACCTGTTGGCCCTCTTTTTTTTTTTTTTTTTTTTGCTATATGGTACATGTACTCGCTGGAGGGAGAGGGAGAGAGAGAGAGAAAGTGAGAAATCACCTGCCAGGGGAGATGGCCATGGTGCAATTTCTTCTCTATTCTCCACTTGGGATTTTGGGCAAGCACACACATGTGCCTGGCATGATTTTTATAATAAAAATTTGTAGAAATTAAGTATTCCTATGTATCGTAGGAAAAAGCAAACAGAAAAAGACTTCTTTCCAGTGGCCCCTTGTGCGCACAGCCCGGCTCCATCTTAAGCATGCCGGCCCTCTGCGAACGCTCCCGAGGGCTCCCTGACCTTAGTGCCGAAGCACTGAGCCGCCTGCATTTGGCTGGCATCTGCTCGTGCGCATCAGCGGCCTTCGGAACCGTGGGGCAGCACAGAGAGCCGTGAGTCTCACGCCGGCCAAGAGCAGTGCCTTGCACCGGGCGGCACGAATGAGTTCCAGAATGATGCAAATGGATGCACCTAGGAGGAATCTGCAAGTGGCTTTTGCTTGTTGAGGTTGGTATTTTATATATGGGAGGGGAGACAGTTTAGAATTTTCTCCAGATGCTAAGCAGAGCTGGGTCCACTCTAGGGATATGGCTACCTCCCTGAAACCCAGCGCCTGCCTCCTCGTTAATCTAGGTGCTTAAGCCCGACATCTCACGCCATGACAAGGAACTCCCCTGCACAGCTCTCACTGGTGCCTGGCAGTGGTTGGTTTTAGGAACCATCTGGAATTCACTCTAAGGCAATACAGTCATTCTGATCATCACACATGGAGGGAAACTGAAACCACCATGCCTTACAACCCCATTGAGATGGCTTGTTTATTTCCAGTGTCAACTCTGCCCCTGCAGTGGGGGGGGGGAGTGTGTGCCAGTTTGGGCCCATGAGTGTGGTTAGCATACTCATGCCTTTAATGCAAAGCCTGCTGCGGAGACAGGGAGAGGGCAACAGGACAAACGGAATTGGGGAACACATGTCAAGGAGGGACAGCCTTGCCTGCTTGCACCAGAAAGCAAAGTCTGGACAAGATGGGGGTCACACTGCTGCGCAGGAAAGCAGGTCGCGAGGGGCAGTCTGCAAAAAGCAAGCGCCACTTCCAGCCGTCCCAGCAGACCTGCACAGCGCGGGGTGCCGCTGTCCACAAATGAGCACACACGAAGCAACAGCAGGCCCGGAGCTCCCCAGGCCCGAGGCCCGCACCATGGAGGCCTACCTTGCAGTGCGTGGTGCTGACGGGCAGTCCGATGTTGGAGGCGATCACCACCGTGAAGGCTGAGGCCAGCTCGATAGTGAAGCCGCTGCAGGGGCACAGGGGGACGTCACGGCTGCTCTCTGAATCCACCCTTCCCACACCCACGCATGCCAGGGTCTCACCAGATGGCTCTCCAAGTCGGCCATCACTACTGACACGAACAGGGCGAGAAACTGCTACACTGTGGCGCCCGTTCACACTGAGGCTCTGCTACCCCTTCACAGCCCTGAATAGCCTTGCTTCTCTAATCTGTTTCCAGAAACCTCACATTGTGGTGACTGGGTCAGAAATTCCTGCCGGCTAGTAAAATGGCAAGTTAGTCATTTCTAAAGTAGCATAGGAAAAATCTATGCTTCAGTTTTAAGAATGTGTACTTACTTTACAAAAGTGAGTTTTTCTCAGATTACTAATTTTTCTTCACATTAACCTAAAAGAATTCTTTTATTCAAACAAATTTCAAGGAGAACACAATTAAAAATTGAGGGACCAGCAGATGGCATAATGGTTATGTCGCTGGACTCCCATGTGGTTGACCACAGTTCAAATCCTGGACCTCAGAGGGTTAAAACAATGTGTGCGTGCATGTCCAAAATCATGAGAGAATGGTGGAGGAGGAATTGTGGTGTGGTCACCCCCTGCTGGGGGTGATTTCTTGCCTTTTCTCTCTCTGGCGAGCACATGTGCCCCATAGCAAAAAACCTCTCTCAAAAATTAAATTAATAGGGAACCAGCAGAAAGCGTAATGGCTATGTCGCTGGACTCCCACGTAGTCGACCGCGGTTCACGTCCCGGACCCGGTGGCTTAAAACTCACACTGGGTGCGTGTGCGTGCGTGCCCAACATCCCGAGAGGAGAATGGAGGAGAAGGGATTGCGGCGTGATCATCCCCCCTGGGGGGTGATTTCTCGCTTTCTATCTCTATGTCTCTCTCTGTCTGTCTGGCGAGCGCACGCGCCCTATAGTGAAAAAAACCTCTCCAAAAAAAAAAAAATTAAATTAATAAAGGACAAGGGGCTCTCCAATGTTTTAAAAAGTGAGAGAGAAAAAAAAATAGTGAGAGAGGAAAAGTTTCCATAGTGAGTAGTTTCAAATCCCAGCTGCGTTCTAAAGGTTCTCCTGAAAGTTTGTTTAACCCCTCTTATATGTGATCAGCCATGAAACCCAGCTCTCTTCCAGGGACACAGCGCCACACCTCCCACCTGGCTGAGCTGGGGGAGGACGTCCAGGGTCACCAGGAGCTGCAGGTGAGAGCGGGGCTGGCTGGGGCAGCTGCTCCCCTCATCTCTTCCTCTCTGGACCTCGGGGTGGGACTGACAGAGGGAGCGGACTGGGGGCTGCAGGGTGGGAGCTCTTTGGCTTTTCCCTCTCTGCCTTCCTGTCCCTCATCCTGGTGCCACTGCAGATGGGGCAGTGAGGGCAGGCGATGAGGGGGATCCTTCCTGCCCTCTGTGCACTGTGACCACCAAGCGCGGAGTGGCTGAGCCGAGGGGTTGGGGCAGAAGGCTGAACGAGAGGCTGCAGATGCAGCAGCTCGGCCTTGGTGGCAGGTCTCGAATCCCAAGCCCTGCCACTGGGGCCCACACCCGGCTTACCTGGATGGTGTAATTGGCGTGAGGTCTTTCCCCATGGTCTGGATCACTCTTCTCCCCCAAACCCAGAGGCCTGTACAAATGCCGACTCCTCCATAAAACAGCAGCCAGACCGGCGTCGCCGCTTCCTGCATTACCCCGCCTTGTTCGTAAATCAGCCACAGAGCCACCAGGGGGCCAATGGCGTTACTGGAAAAGAACAAGAACCATGCATAAAACGGCACCGGACACAAGACGCGGCGACCTCAGTGGTGGGAACAGCCAGCTTACCGTGTGTGCGGCTTGCCTACATCATCTAGAGGTGATAAAAAGGATTGGCTTTTTAAGTACCAGAGGCGTGTGTGCTCACCAGAGAGAGAGAAAGAGAGAGAGAAAGAGAGGGAGAAAGCACCCCCCAGCGGGGTGTGGTCACAATGCAATCCTTCTTTCCTCCATTTCTCCAGCCCGTCAGGATCCGAGGCACACACCTGGCATGTTTTTCAAGGCACCAGGGCCAGGACTGCGTAAGGGTTCCGATTTCTCCACCTTCTTGCCAACACTTGTCATTTTCCTTTGACAGCAGCCATCCTAATGGCTGTGTGACTTATTAATGTTTTAAAATGTGCTGAAAAATCACAAGAAGTGGCAATGATGACAAATTATTACTTTCTCCTTTGTTCTCTGATTTCTGTCCTTTTTTGCCGCCCTAACTGGCCTGCTGACTATGCCCTGGTCCCTCTGGTGCAGAGAAGTCAGTGTGGTCCTGGTCACATGCTCTGCACGGCCTCTGCTCAGACCCTCCCCTCCCCAGAGCAGAAGTCCCTTTGTCCATGCAGACCTGCACCTCTGGCCTCCGTGACCTGCTGACCCCACTGTCCCCACTGCCCTCTGCAGCCTCCTGACTCTTCTTAGAACATGCCAGGCACACCCCCACCCTCCCTGCAGGGACACTGTGGCTGTCCCCTCTCATCTTCCTCCGCCCTTGCTCAGCTGCCCCGACCCGGCAGCCTGTGGGTGCCGCCTCCTGCTGTGCTCCAGCCCCACCCAATCGAGTCTTCCTGTCGCACTGGTCCCTGCCTGGCACCCTGTGCACCCTTCCCCAGCCAGGGCCTTCTGGCCCAGCTGTCCCCTGCTTCATCTGATTCAACACACTTGCTGAATGACTGCGTGTCCTCACCTCACGTCATTGCCACCGTGAGCGAAGGACCCAAAGCAGGCGGTGAGGACCTGCAGGAAGTGGAACAGGAGGTGGACCTCGGCGGTGTCCTTCTCCTCCTTCTCCTCCTCGGCGGGGTCCTCACGGGGCTGGTCAGGGCCGGCTAGCTCGGAGGCCAGCTTCATCTCCACGCCGCCCTCTTCCGCCTCGATCTCCGCTTCTGCCACCGCGTTGCAGTAGCTGGAGTAGCTGTCGTAGCGCAGTCGCTTCTTCGAATAGGACACGGTGTCGCCCACCAGCTTCTCGCTGTCCTCTGGCGCAGATGACGCGTCGGCCGCCTTGAAGGTGGTGTGCACCGGCATGCCGCAGATGGCCGCAGTGTAGCAGGTGTAGCTGTTGTTCCGCCGCAGCAGCCGGCAGCTGTTCTCCTGCGCGGGCCGCTCCTCCGTTCCCCGGTCCCCGTGGATCCTGTGCAGCAGGTCTCTGTAGAGCCCCGAGTCTTTGTGCACCGTGTGGTACACGTGACCGTCACTCCTCATGTGGCCATCAAAGCCAAACGTGCCGTTGGAGACAGGCGACTTCACAGAACCGTGCGTCATGGAAAGTGCCCTTCCTGGAGGGGCGAAACAGGTCTCACGTTCCAGCCCCTGATGCAAACCAGGCTACACTCCCTCTGCTTGGGCATTCACCACTGGAAGGTCAGACTGAATGACTTTGGTATTTTCTTTCTATAGACTTTGTTTCTAAATCTACTATAAAGAATGTGGGATATGTCTGAAAAAACTTGGAGGGGTGTAACGCAGGGCTGGGTAGACATGCTAAGTTTTAAAGA